GCCGCCCGGGTGAGAGGCCGGCGGGCTCCGGGCAGGGACCAGCGGTCGTGTATCAGCGCAAGGCTTCGCGCTTCGGTTTCCTTATTGCCCGGGTGCAGCCGAGGTGCCTCGGCGCGTCTTTGCGCGTGAAAATGGGCTTTTTGCTCCTCGCCTTTCTTTTCCCAGGTCAGCAAAGTTAGCGGCGTCTGTAAAAGGCGCCGTGAAACCTGTCCGGTTCCCAAACACCTTCAGAGCGTGTTTTCCCCTTTTCTGCTTGCCCCAGCTGCTGACCGTAACTTTGATGTAGATCCTACAAAGGATACCGTGTGGAAGGGACTAAGCGAAAGCAAAGGGAACAATATTTATTTTAGGGAATGGAGAGACGAGCAGACTGTTCCTCTTGCGTAGGAATGTGGAAGAGGGACAGTCTCACAAGCAGCACCAAGTTTCACGTAGCAAATTAACACGTAGCCTTTTCTGCAAGCCTGTAGGCACCAGTTACCTACAAACGGTACTTAACAAATCCACCGCTACTCCTCCTTATGTCAGAAAAATATTATACATAGCTTTTTGCTTTGTTCTTTAATGTTCTGAAGCGGAGCATTAAGGCTCATAGATCTCCAAGGATCCTGGAGCTTGGAGCCTGCTCTCATTTCTCCCTTAAATTGCCAATTTCGGCTTCATTACAGTCAGCCATTGTGAAACAAGCAGATAGAGCTTTAAAGGTGCAATTCGTCCTTTAGTTAATATTTTAGATCACATGAGCATTGTTTGAAGTGAGTATTCCAGAACAGAATTCATACAGTCTTTAGCATGTTACTGAAATCTATCCAATCCTGTATAAAATATTTTACTCTGTCATTTGGTTGAATTTCATTTGAACTCCTAAAATCAAAGGCATTGTTACATTTGATGTGAAAATTAAAACAAAAGTAAGGCTTTATCATGTTGGGCTTTATGGTGGTGCAGGTTTGAGAGCGAAGGAAACGCAGTAAATTGCCCATGGTGTTCTAGCAAGTCCCTAACAGAGCTGGAAGGAGAACTGGGGTCCCTGCAGTTAGGCTACGCCTAGCCTAGCCGTTCAGTCTGGGAAGGAGAGCCAGTGGTGCAAGAACCTGGGGTCATGAGGCATTTTTCTCCCCCTCCAGCTGTGTTCACCTGAAGTCTCCGGTTCTTTCAAAGCACTTGCGGGGAAGATTTGTCCTTCAACAAGAGGCTCTTCAGAGCTGCATGCACCCAAGTACTTCGTTTGGCAGAGTAGAAGGGATTTTGCTTGAAATCAGAGCCTACATTCTACTTCATGTCCCAGCTCAGGCAACCTCAATTCAATTTAAAGCAACTCCATGTTTAGCACAGATAATCTTAAGCGAGATCTGAAAAAGAAACACGCAGCAAAGATTTACTGTAGTATCCATTTTATAACCATTCGGATAGGTTTAGAACTTTTATATGTTTCCTTTTCTAAGTCTGAGTTCACCAGTGCCTTGAAATAAAGCAAAGAAACAAAAACCAATAGAGCAACAAAATTAATTCATTCCATACCCCGCAAACCTCGCTTTGTCATTCTCTACAGGCATATTTTAGGTAGGCTAAGGGATTCATTTTAGTTTAAGGTCTACTGCAATGTACCTTATTGCCTACTTAAGTTCATTCTGCCGCCCTTTTGCCAGCTTAAACTCATGGTTGAGCAGCTTCCTTCTCAGACACTCCCCATTTCAGAAACGGGAAGTCTTTTTGCTAGCATGCCGCGAGCTACCTGAAATGGCAGTGATGGCCAGGAAGTAGGTCGGTTTGCAGAAAGTTGTATTTTCGTGCTTCTGCAAATGAACATCCTGCCACTGTGCTGACACCGCTTTGAAACAAGTCAGCTCTAAAATCGAACAGCCATTCAAGTGCTTGACATTTAGAATTAATTACTCTGCAGCCTGTTTCCTGCACTCCACTCCCGATTTCAATAGCTGGACTTAAATGCTTTGTATTTTATTGCTCCACAAGAAGGCAGGGCTAGGGATACTTTATAAAAGTGAACACTTTTAACTTACAGTGTTTGCTTTGTTTGTGGCTGGTTTTGTGATAGCATTTGATGGAAATGCAGAGTCCTTTCTGTGTCGATTTAATTTTGTTCATCCTTCCAAGTGGAAGAATTTGTGGAAGACTGTAAAAATCTGTCCTGGAATATTGGTTTGGATTTTTTTTTCACAAGGATCTGTTTATGAGAATCCATTGATCTAAAAGTCAACCTGTTAAATCAGTTGTCCCTTTTATGAGGGTTCCACGTACAGTACAATTCTACAGCTACAACATTGTTGCATAAATTTATAAGACACTAAATCTTGTGGCTTTTTAGGGGCCTTATTTTTCCATATGTTGAAGCACCCGATAAAAGGGAATCTGTTCCTCTGGGGAGTTAATTTGCAGGATGTATTCTAGTGCAATCCTCCCACTGGAAGGCATCACAGCATGAAGTGGTACGTATTTGTAAGCGTGTTAGCACAGCCTGATATGCCTGTACTAGTGCTTACACTTGCGCTTTCCTAGAAAAGCACATGGTGTCATTTCAGAAGTCTTTCAGCCATTTAGGGCTGGCTCTCAGCAAAGTCCACAGAGGATATAAAGCAGCTGTGTCCCTCTCAATTACTGCTAAGTTATCTTCATCACCATCCACGTTTCTGATAGTGAGATCTAACGAGATTATGGCAGCAACGTATCCTAATTACAGTTCTTTAAATAGTGGAAATATTCAGATAGAGCTACATTTGTAGTATTGCTGTATACTTACCAACCTTGTCTAAAAAGCAGAAAACTGGGAGAAAATGGTTTGACATTGTTTTGTATCAATTACATCAGTTACAGACTTTTTAGTTTTTCATTTACATTGCATAATTATTTAAGGCATAAAGAATGTATATGTATTTTTTTAAATAGATGCTAATTTGGAAAACGATCTATTTTTATCTGTAGCTCAATCCAGTTAAGGCAGAGTTGTTACTTGATACTGGTGGAATAAGGCAGGATACCCTTTGTTGGGAAAGGTGTTTATTTCCTTTCATGGCTTGCTTGAAATCGTTATGCGACAAACAAAACAAACAACAATTTCTAATTAAAACAAGGAAGACTTGAAGAGAAGCAAGTTATTTCCAGCTCTGGCCATAATTCAGCTGAGGTAGTTGGGTATAGACACGCTCCTTTGTTTTACTGCTCAAAATGAAAAGTAGAAAAAGTACTCGGAGTTGTAATGAGCACTGTTCTGCAGTTGTCTTCAATAAATGTCCAGCTGAGCAAGAATGGCTTATTGCACAGCTTTGCTTGCTGTGCTTATTGGAAGAAATGGGACTTTTTTATTATTCTAAGGGAGAGGTTTAATTTGGTGACATTTCCTGTTTCAAGTCTTCCAAGATTATTCTATTCCCTTTGGTCCTGTAAAAACCATAAAAGATTTTATTATGAAAACCATAAACTCTTCCTAATTTCCACAGAATCAATACTTAGACCAGCTAAATTCTAACAACCCAAGGCATGCATATTGGATTTCAGAACGCAGTGCAGTTTTATAACTTTTTAGAAGAGAAGGGGTTTTTCTTTTCCGGCTTTAAAGTTTGCAGACATTTGGGTACTTCCCTTACAGTTGGCCTTTTCAGCTGTTTCTGGTACCACTCACAGTTCCAGATGCCTTAGTTCTTCCACTGCTGCGACACTTTGTGTCTGGGCTACAGTACAGTTTCCAGTAAAATACTACAAGATAAGAGGAGTAACCCGGCACGGCACAGGCAGCGGCTACTGCACAGGGTTACAAGTGACCAGGGCAGCAGTAGAGGATCAGGGGGTGGGGGGAGGTCACCTGCTGAAGTTCGGATGGTTTCATTTGGAGGCTCTGTCTGACTTCCCTGGTTCACGTTGGCATTTTCCATCACCTCCCTCATCTCTGTCAGTTCCCAGCTTTTTACTTTGTGTCTCCATACCCCTTCTGCACTCTGAGCACGTCAGTGGCTTTTCAAAGTCCGTGAGGCATAATTAACTCTGGAAGCAGTCCGTGGCAGTTGATGTAATTGATTTGCTGCTCCATTTCTAGAGGGATCAACCTCTCATCCTTCACACGCTGTTTGCTGTGAAGCAGTGGCACCTCCTCCAGCCGCTCATCAGCAACAAGCAAGTTGCATCGCAGGGCATGGCGGTGTCTCACGGTGTGTCAGACGCTCCTTCGCTGTGTGGTGGTGCTGTAGGTTACCACCTCATTACAGTGTCACTTTCACTGCAGCAGTTTCTTACTCTTTCTATACCTTGGCATTTAGGTTTCTGATTACTAGCAAGGATCAGGAAAAAACATTGTTTAAGAACATCACCAAGAAGAGCTTCTAGCAAGCATTCATATTCTCTAAATAGGTCGGTACTGTGCAGGTTGAACAGCTCACATTTTTACAGGTGCCCACGTGAAGTTTGCAATTCTTCTCGAGTACCTTTGGAATTCTTCTGCTTGGTCACACTGAAAAAAAATCTGGTCTTACAAGACCGACTGTTTCCATTTTGACAATGTGTGCCTAGATTTCTCCCTAAATCTGGCACTTCCTGTCACTGTCAGAGTTGGGCTTGTTGGTGAATTGCTTCAGTGTAGGTTGCAGTATGTATGAACTCAGTAAGTTATCTTTTGTCTTTAGTTTAATTAGTTTTTGCTTCCTTGTAGGTGCGTATAGCTGCAAAATTCATCACTCATGCACCCCCTGGAGAATTCAACGAAGTATTCAATGGTAAGTGAATAAGGAAAAGTGATCAGTGGTGGTTTCTTCAAATTTCATCTATTATAAGAGCCTAAGGCTGCGTCACATCATACTGCTTTTAAGGTTAAGAAGTGGTGAGGGAACAGCATGCTGTCATTCTGTGACTACATATGCTTAATGAAATTATTTAATAATTTTAATGTTTGCATTTGTACAGTTGAAATTGAAATGCATAAACAGAAACGTTTGATCAAAAAAATCCAATAAACCTACCTGAACACTCTCTTCTCCAGATGTCCGGTTATTGCTTAACAACGACAATCTTCTCAGGGAAGGAGCAGCACAGTAAGTACTAATATTTCAAACACAAGTCAAATTGCCACCGGAGATGCATATGTTTCCTTATGCCCATCATTCTGTGACAAAGCAAGCCATTTGTTATATTTAGAGCAATCTTCTGCAATTCCTTATCCCCCCAACACAACACATAATGGAAAGCATGGATGATTCTTTTTAAAAGCCCTAAGTTGGAATTTGTGCTGTAGAGGCTGTATAAAACTGACAGGAAGGCACTTTGCCAAAAGGTTTAGCTCTGCAGCAGCAGGAGTGTCTGACCTTGTTGAAGCATGATTGGTAAAGCAAGTGAAGCCTGAAATACTGAGCAATCCTTAGCTGAAGTTTAGAAAAAGAACTGCCCTCAAAAGAGAAAAAAAAGCTTTCAAAACATCTTGTTTACTTGCACAGTCTCATCAGAAGGTGCTTAAAGGTTATTCATAAAAGCTTTTTGATGCTAAGACTTCACTTCAAGCTAGGTGACATGTCAATCAGCAGGTCTTTACTTAAGATAATTGTTGTAAATATTAGTCTACTCATTTGTTTACCTTGCTGCTGTCTAAATTGTAGCTGGGGTGTGCCTGTTCTGCCTTGCTTGCTCATTTTCCCCCAGGCTGCCTGCTGTTCTACTTTTGAACTCTGTGTTTTCCTGGTCATCACTAAATAAACCTGGCTTTAGACCTGGGGTTTTATAGCTATGGTCAATAAAAGATATTGAAAAATCCTTTAAGAGTGCACGTGTGTGTTATTTGCCAAATTAAGTTGAAGTTTTCTATAATATAAATCACACCACGTACTTATCCTTCAGTCAAAATAAATGTGCATATACAGCTAACGTTCATGTTCTTTTAATTATTAACAGTGCATTTGCACAGTATAACATGGATCAGTTCACTCCAGTGAAGATAGAAGGGTATGATGATCAGGTAAGAGAAAACTTGTTACACTTGAGGTTTGTATTACTACACTGTGCAAAAGCAATAACAATGTCATTTCATCAAGATGTTGACTGGTTTCATTCTGCTGAAGTTATTACTTCTCCTCCTTCCCACACACTTCATTATATTGCCAAACGTTTGGTCTTATGGAAGAAGCATAGGTGAAATGTTCTCTGAAAGTATTGCCTGATACTGCCTAGTACCTAATTCATTGTTCCTTAAGTAAAGCTCCATGCTGAAGTCACTGGAATTCTACTTAGAGTATGAATGATTAAAGATTACTGTTTATTTAAAGCCCACTTACAAATCCTTATGCTGCTACCTGCCTACAGTTCCTACTGACAATCCAACTGATTATTCTTAATAGTATTTTTTTTCATTTTCTGAATTTTAAATCCATTCCCAGCTACCCTAAAAACCATATTGTATCTTTGATTACACCAATCTAATACTATCCAGTCTATGCCCGCAAAACAGGTGGGGTTTTTTTGAGAACAAGCAGCAAGTCCTGCAGAAGCTAGAAAGCTGGCCTGACCATCTGTTCTGTTCTCTGAGCCAAGTACTGACCTAGCTTTTCTGGTGTCCCAGATATGTTCATGGGAGGCCGATATTTTTAAGGGGGCTGACCATAGAAATAGCTTTGACAAGAGAAAGTTACAGTACAACCTGGGGGGGGAAAAAAAAAGTCAGTCTTTGGGAAGCCAGAGAATTATGGTGAATAAGCCAAAGGAGAAGGAAGGTACAGTGCTGCTTTGCTGTGTGCTTTAGTCTGTGTATATTAGGAGACACATCTATATACCCGTCTTGACCAGGAGAGCTATTGCAACATGGAACGTGACAGTAAATGGTAAATTAAGTAGTAAATTTCTTAGTTTCCTTTAGTTGGTGAAGGAAAAGAGCAAAAATAACTTTAAAAGCAAACCCACCTGTTTGTATTGTAAGGATGCCCAACTTTAAGCTAAATATATACATTATTATAATACAGCCATTTCTGGGACAGAAGGCCAAGTGCAGTATTACTGTGAAGAGCAGAGAGTTTACCTACAGCCTCACTACAACTACTCTTAGCTGAAACTATTACTGAAAGTCCCTATTTTTGTTATTACTGTTTCCTTATGTGCTATTATAGCTCAATGAAAGAATCTACTGAAACTTTGATATCTATTCAAATAGAGAAAAATGCAAACCAGCACATTTACAGCAGTCTAAGTGTATCTTAATTTCAACTTTTTACAGGTCTTAATCACAGAACATGGTGATCTGGGCAACGGCAGATTTTTAGACCCAAGAAACAAACTTTCCTTTAAGTTTGATCATTTAAGGAAAGAAGCAAGTGACCCCCAGCCTGAGGACACCGAATCAGCTTTAAAACAATGGAGAGACGCCTGTGACAGCGCACTGAGAGCTTACGTGAAAGATCATTACCCCAATGGCTTCTGTACTGTTGAGTATCCATCTTGTTCCACTGAAACTTCATTGCTCCCTGTCAGTCAGTACCTTGAGTGGACTTTGTGCTGGGCAGCGCTCTTTGACTTCCCTATCCTCGTTAGCATTTTTGCTAGCTTTGGAATAACAGGTTCCAAAGAGGATGCAAATATCTTAGTATGCACGCAGTGGTAAAGATATTATATGGGCCTTATTTTGCGTAGTCATCACTGCCAAGCACCTTAACTCCTGCAGTTAATCAAAAGGAAGCATTATGTGCACACATATGCAAATGGAGGTGTTGGACAATATAATTAGTGGTACACGTTCCCAGTGAGATACTGCAATAGCAAGCCTCCACAGTGCTGCCAAGAACAGAAATTAAGACTGGCTTTCCTCAGCTCTTGGGCCTTTTTAACTCTTTTTCTAAATACAGGTTTATGGTAAATCTATAGATGGGCAGCAGACAATTATTGCCTGTATTGAGAGCCACCAGTTCCAGCCCAAAAACTTCTGGTAAGACTATTTCAACGTAGTCTATTTTCTTCCTTTGCTGTCCTCTCAAACAAGCCCATCCTCTGTGTCTTCTGACGCAGTCCGAAGGGCAAGTAGTCTTGGGCTTCCCAAGAAGTTCTGCTTCTCCTTCTGCAGCCTGTTTTCCTTGCAGCCCCCTTGGCACTTTCCCAAAGCCTTCGGTGTGACCTACCCAGAGAGAAGGGCATCAGCAGAGCTAGAGAGATGCCCTCTTGCATATTCCAGAGCACGAGTACACTGGAGCTCATCTGTGCTGAAGCTGCCCTGTACTCAACTGCGCTTCAGAGATTTAGTTGTGCCATGTAAGGCACTGTAATATGGGCCAAAATGACAGCAGAAACAACTTGCTCTTGTGAATTTTGTTCCTTTTGTTGTTAGAGCTTTTGGGAAATACAGTTTTCATGCTTTGATTGTTTTTAGGAATGGTCGTTGGAGATCAGAGTGGAAGTTTACCATCACACCACCAACAGCTCAAGTGGCTGCAGTGCTCAAGATCCAGGTGAGTTAAGTTTTTCTGGCAATAACGGGAGAAGCAGCATTGTGCTTCTCCTACACTAATGCATTCGACTCAGCATGAGATGCTGAAATACAGCCGAGAGGTCCTTCTCGAGTCAAGGTGCTATTAAACTATACAACCCAAGAAATTAATTCTTAAAACTAGTGTTTGAGACATAGTCTACAATCTGGCCTGTGGTTCATTATATAGCATTACCCTATATGCCTCCAAGTCTGCTTCACTTTATAGGGCTAAACCCTATACCATGAATTCTTTTATAATTGCTCTTATTTCAACTCTAGGCGTTTACTGCATTAACATAATCTTGAACAGTCTTGACAAAGAATGAAACCTTTTAGAAAATCCATCCTGCTTTTAGTCTCCACGTAAGCAGAGAAGACTGGCACAACGATGCTGTTGTGCCATTCTGGTAGCGTTTGGGGGCTCTAGGGATTATGAAATGAGTGTTAATGATAACCTGCATTTTGTCCCTTTGTTCAGGTTCATTATTATGAAGATGGCAACGTTCAACTGGTTAGTCATAAAGATATCCAGGACTCTGTACAGGTTTCAGTAAGTATGAGAAAAGATTTTTTTCAATAAAGCAACTATTTTGTTTCTTAAACATCTCATGAAGCATATACTTCTATGATGACATCATCTTGCCTATAAAGTAATGTGATTTTAGAGTGACTCATCAGCGCAGCCGTAGTATTTAGAGTTACACAAGAAACCCAGATTCTCAGTTGCTTAAGGTTAGACCGTATTGGAAAGTACAGTCTCTGTTGGAAAGCTCATCATCTTAGGAGTTGCAGTTAGAGAGGGCAGCATGTGCATTCTGTCTGTACGCAAGGGAAACAAAACAGCAAGAGCCGTGTCCTGAGGGAAGGTAAGTCCTGTAGAGGGAGCAATGGTCACAAAATCCCTAATCTATACCACGAAGGTCTACTTCCCGCTTGCTCACTAGGGTGCAGCCCTGTTTCAGTTTGGAGCACCAGCTCCAGCCAATAGACACCTCTGTCTGGAACGGCACCGAGACGTCCATAGTGAGTGAAAGGGACCCAGCTAAAAACACGAGGCAGAAGCTGCGGCTGTTACCCACTTCATCTACACTCAGCCTGTCCTGTGAGAAGAAACCTATTGCGTAGCTTTTGTAAGTTGCTCTTAAACATATAAAAATGTATTTTTCTCCTTTGTAGAGTGATGTCCAGGCAGCCAAGGAATTTATTAAGATAATAGAAAACGCAGAAAACGAGTACCAGGTAAGATCAGCAATTGTTAAATAAATATGATGGAATCATATCAGCCTCCATTTACAGTTAAGGGAAACATGGAAAATTGGCCTCTAATTCTGTTTCTGGCTGAGTCTGGTATTGACTGTAAGAGTTACTTGGAAAAGGGCAGTAGTATTTGCTAAAGAATATCGTTTTAAGGCTATGTGTAATTAATAATCAAGTTTGCTGCATAGTTTTTTTAAAAGGTTACAAATGGTGCCTGGAACAGGCATGAAAGGGGAGTGGGTGCATCTAAATGTTTTCCTCTGACAGTTAAAAATACTGAACAGGAAACGTGTGTGGCAGCTTTTTACGTTGTCCCAGCCTGTGTGCAAGGAGACAGATAATGAAATGCTGCTGTATTCACAGGGGAGTTTAACAGAAACCCCTGACTTGCAGACACACGGGTGACTGCATTCTTAATTGGGTTAATAGCATGCCATCACCTTGTAGAAAGGGGTTTGTGGCTTTAACACCGAGTCATGCTTTTTTGGAGTATCTTACTACTGCTGTAACTGAATCGACTTGCCGTTGCAGACAGCGATCAGTGAGAACTACCAGACTATGTCAGACACCACTTTCAAAGCCTTACGCCGGCAGCTGCCTGTCACCCGCACCAAGATCGACTGGAACAAAATCCTCAGCTACAAGATTGGCAAAGAGATGCAGAATGCTTAACGCAGAAATAAGGAGATTTACAAGATGTTTGTGTGCAAAAAAACAAATGTGGTCCTATGCCAAGTAGATGGTTTCTAAACCAGTGCAGCGTTTTTCTAGGGCTTTCAAAGTTAACAGGTTTTCTAGCCTCAGAGAGAACTGCGGAACGAATAGTGTCCTCTTTGTGTTTTGTGTTTCCTGCCGCATAAACTTCCTCTTGTGACTGCATTTACCGATAGGTCATTTTAATTAAGCCACATCCATGGTTCAGCATTAATAGCTGTTTTCAGTCACTGATTGTACTGGTTGGAAAACTTCCTAGCTGGAAAAGCCCTACTATAAATACAGCTGAGGGTGCAGAGCATTCCCTTCACCCGTGTACAGCACTCCAGGTACTCCAGTAAGTTTGTCGAATCTGCCAACAGCTCAAGGCGCTATGCTGCAAGATACAGTAAATGCAAGAGACAGCGAGTCCTCATGTGTCCACATCACCGACCTCCACAAAGCAGAAAGCCTGCAGGCTTAGATTTTACTAAATAAAATGAGTTTACAAGGTCCTTTGCAGAAATCCCTATGCAGCCAGCTCTTCCAGGGACACAATATATTATTATTTTTTTTTTAATCTGAAGATTTGAGCCACGTTCCCTAAAAGTGAACATTTTTGCTCTCCCCTCCCTCATGTACGTACGGTTACTGACATCTGCATTTTTACAGAACTGCAAGTTCCTGTGTTGAATCACTGCTGCCCCATGTAGGCTGGACAGTGATTAAAGGTGCAAATGTCTACAGAATAATCGGTATGTTGTGCTTTAACGCTTTGTGGCAGGTTCTTAGCATTTGTATCACAGGTGTATGGATGGATAGTGTACAAAATAAATAAACTTGCACCAAAGTGAGAGAAAAACCCTTTCCGTTTTGTCTCAGTTGTGGCCAGTTCCTTGTCGTACTTGAAGGGGATGTTGGAATCAGTCTCTCCATTGCTCTCAAGTGCTTGCTCTGCCTTCCTTTGTTTTTCTGTAAAATCCAACAGAGCAGTCCTACCAGTTTCTCTTAAGGGGGGATTGAAGGGGCTTGCGTACGCCTTTCGCAGCCAGGACTTGGACCATGGATTCACTGCAAGGTGAAGCCCCTTGGGTGAACTCACTTGGCTTTGTTTGCACTCGGTTATCACTGGGCCTTCTTGAAGGTTCTGGTTTTTAAACTGGCTCGTGTCTTCCTGTTTTTAAATACACAGAGGGGGGTTGGGAGGGTTGGGATGGGGCTGCCCATGCATGATGCTTCAGGTTTCGCACAGTAAAACCACAAAGTAAGCGTGTCTATCCCTTGTGAGAAATTCTGTCTAAATAAGATATATTTGTATTTGCTGTTGAGCCTGACCATTCGTCCTACCGGCATCCTCTGTATCGAACAGTAGAAATACACCGGTCTTTGTTTTAAAGCCATTTGTGTCTGTTCTTTCGTTGTCTCGCCCCCGTTAGCTCCTGATGAAGGTAACGGCCTGAAGGCAGGGGTGGTGTTGCTTACAGACCCACAGGTGATGCTCCCGTCCTGGTGCTCAGACCAGGGAACTGGAGGTCTAAGAACTCTCAGATCGGAAGTCACACAGCTCTAGGGAGGCACCTAACCCCGGGGAAAACGTAGCCAAGGAGGTTGCTCTGCTCATCATCTGCGCCTTGCTGTAACACCTACCTCACCTCTCCTGCTCGGCTTGCGAATCTCTGCTGGACGCGTCCCACGGCGGGGGCACTGGGCAGAGCAGGGCTCTGGAGGATTTGTGTGCAGCTGGGCAGAGCCGCTCAAGGGCAGCGCTGCTGCCAGCCAGTGTTTGTAGAAAGGGTTTCCTCCCTGCCCGCAGCGCCTGGGGGAGATGAAAGGTTATGTGGACAAGCACCTAAGGTGCAGTGGCCTGTGGCTGTGGTCCCATCCAGACAAGCACTGGCAGCAATTCCAAGAATGTGAGGCTGAAGCGGGGGCCCAAGATAAGGCTGTGCACACAACAGAGCTTTTATCTGCCTCAAGGCTAGCCTTCCCCAGCTCCGGGCTGAGTTTCACTGCAAGTAGTTCATCACCACTTGTTCCAACCTTAAGGCCGTTCCTGTCTCTTTGTCCTCCAAATCTTTAGCTAATCATCCTTTCGGCCAGCTCGTTCCCTGCCAGCCTCCTGGCCCTTCTCCCCCCCCAGCCTTCTCTCCAGCAGGCCCAACTATTCCAGCCATCCCACACCCTCGCACGCT